ACCCGAAGCACCCATTGATCATTCACTAAGAGATGCAAGCAATGAATTAACTTGAACAACCACGCTCTCACCAGATCTGAACCCACTGGGTAGTCACTGGTACTGTTGGCGACTGGGGATTCATCGTCGAGTAAGGCTATAAGAAGAAGTACTCTGAGTAGAAAGAACGGGTAAGGTCTGGGAAAGGCAGGAAACGGGAATTGGAAGTATATGAGGCTCTGAATGAGACAAATGTGCTAAAATATTTATAAGGGTGGATTGTTGGTGGACCAATGTCACCCAAGGCTTGATAGTTTCTGGAACCATATCAGAGACGTAAAGTCTCAGGAACAGGTCCATACATAAATCACAGATATCTCTCTAGGGTAAACAGACCCAAGCCAAAATGACATCACAACCTATAAGGTCCCAACAACAAAGAAACCACATATGCAATGCCAGAACCAAAGACAATATGTGGGCTAAAGTGTAGGAGAGAAGGTCTAGGGTATCTGCAGAAAACTTCTCAGGATTTCTGTGGAGAGCCTCAGATAGGAGGTGTATGGAAGACACTGTAAGAGGTTGGTAAGGGTAAGATGTAGTCGAGAATATTAAGCACAGGTAAGACTGACATTTGATTTGGAAGCCACCCCCAAATAGGTAATAAGGAACCTAACAACTGCTGATCTAAAAATGGATTGTCTGCCCAATAGTAAGAAAGTACTTGGGGAGCACAGCATGCTAATTCCCTCACTCCATTGTGAGGCAAATTGATCAGCATGAACCTGAATATCAGGGGAGAAAGGAAAACCAAAAAGGGGTGGGAAGATTGTTCATGTAATAAGGAAGGTTGAGGTGAATAAAAAAACAGGTGAAAGGGAAAAACATCACAAACCTGAAACACAAAATCAAGAAAGACTGAATTAGGCCTAGGAAATTCCTCAGGTTGGGAATGGGAAGGAATGGCAAGTTCTGGAGGCGGAAAAAGACAATCAAAGTCCTCGTCAGCCTGCACAGACTCAGCCAGCTCAGGAGGAGTCTGGGCATTGTTTAGGATCAAAGGTTGGCCCATGTAACTTTTGATCTCTCAATATATAAAAGCAGATAAATCCACCATTGTGTTGTCTGCACTCTTGGGCTACTCTTTTATCGACGAATAGTGGGATTGACGGTCTCATTATAATGCCCCCATGGCTGAAAGGGCAAGCATGTTTGGTGTGACAGGGATTCGAACCCACAACCCTCAGATTGCGAGTCGAGCGCCCTAACCACCTGGCCATGCCGAGCCTTACTAATATAGGAACTGGGTTGAATGAAAGTAAATTATGACAAAAAATAACCACTTTGTGAGGAAAACATGAAGCATTAAGCACACAAAAGAGCATGTCTGAACTCAAATGCTGCCAAACGAGAAGTGATAGTTTGGTAGAGGGAGTCACATGCATCACGTGAGCATATCATGTTCCTATTCGTTAGGAGGTGACGCATGATGGTTTGCATGAGACAGGTTGAAATATAGCAATTCCAATAGGAGGAAGTGGAAGGCTTGTGGCATGTGTAAAGACAAAGTTTGCATATAGAGGGCAGCAGTGAACGAGAATAACTAATCTCCAATAGGAGGAAGTGGAAGGCTTGTGGCATGTGTAAAGAAAAAGTTCGCATATAGAGGGCAGCAGTGAATGAGAATAACTAATCTTGTGAGCGGATGTAAGTACCGTATCGGAATAACTTTTACGATTCAAGGAGAAAATATCCTGAGAGTGCTAAATGTAATGTGGACAGGATTAATAGGAAATTATGAGAAACTTGCTAGAAAGTATCATGATAAGTGAACTGTTATTAGAATTAAATAATATAAAAGATAGCCTATAACGTCATTATCGTTAGACTTCGTTCCAAAAATGAAACTATGGATGAAATTGTTTGAAATTTGACAAGAAAAATTTTAAAAATTCAGAAAAATTATATATTTAATTTTGATTTTTTCTACAATTTCTAATAAGAAATTCGTTATTTAATTATTTGCACTTGGACTTTCAATAGTTCATCTGGAAAGTGATTTTTCATTTTAGTATAAAAATAGTTTTTATTATCTTACAGTTTTCACATTTCATTTGCATAATCTCTAGAACCTCCTAAATGAATATTAAAAGTTTTTAAGGTAAATGTTTATATTTATTTTCTCTATTATATCATTAACTCTAGCTATTATCATCAACTTACTGTGCAATGAAATGTTTAAAATTAAGAAATAGAAATATGTAGAATACTTTTCAAACTTCTTTTTATCTTATGCATAATTTCACATCTTTATTTTTTCACTTAATAGTATATTTTTTATTTTTCTTTCTAATTCTTTGTCTTTTATTATTTATATCCCAATACATCAACTGGTGCCCTCAAACCTTTATAATTATTATCCCCAGCCTCTAGGCAGAGACACGTTTACCTAAACAAGATGGCACTTGTACAAGCCATCTTGTTTATAAGCTTTCACAAACCAGGTGACAACAAATTAAATGTATAAAAATCATTAAATCCAAATAATACATAATTAATTAAAATATAAAAGTAAAACCTAAATGCAACCCGTGTATCAAACTAATAAACATAAGGCAAGAAAAAATTGCCAAGCACTATGAACACCACTCTCAACAACGGACTAACTCATTTCATCCCATGTGAAAATGAATGTATAAGCACAAGTTTCCAGTTACAGTAACGATCTTCAAGTGTGAAATCTGCTCTTTCCATTCGTTATAAGCATGCCATTCAACTTAAAACTGTCTCTTAGCAACACAGCCTCTTTCTATTTGTTATAAGCATGCCATTCAACTTAAAACTGTCTCTTAGCAACACAGC